TTCCTATGTACCCCCTTTCATTGTGATTTTGTTAAATTGGTTATTTAGTTTGAATAACTGTTTGTCTATCTTGTTGATTTTATTGAAGAACCAACTCATTGTTTCACTGACTCTTTACATTGTTCTCTTTATTTATAGTTTCTTTATTTCAGTCCTCAGTTTAATTATTTCTTGCCTTCTACTACTCTTTGGTGTGATTACTTCTTTTTGTTCTAGAGCTTTCAGATGTGCTGTTAAGCTGCTAGTATGAGATCTTTCCTTTTTTTGTTTTTTTAAATGGAGGCAATTAATGCTATGGATTTTTCTCTTAGCATCACTTTCATTGTGTTCCATAAGTTTAGCTATGCTGTGTCTTCATTTTCATTGAATTCTAGAAAATCTTAAAGTTTTTTCTTTTTATTTATTTATTTTTACTTTTATTGAGAGTAGTTTCTTCTCTCATATAATACATCCCACTCAGTTTTCCCTCCCAGTAATCTTCTGATCTCCCTGCAGTCCTCCTCTCTTAGATCCACCCCTGCTCCATTTCCTCTTCAGAAAATAGCAGGCCCCCAGGAGATGACAGCCAAACGAGGCAAAATAAGATACAATAAGACAAGGTGAAAGCCCTCATATCAAGGCTGAACAGTGCAAACCAATAGGAGGAAAAGAGTCTCAAGAGTAGGCAAATGAGTGATAGAAACACCTGCTCCTACCCTTAGGAGTTTCACAAAAATACCAAGCGAACAGTCATAATTTCCTTATTCTGTCTTGACTTGGTAGTCATTCAGTAGAGAGCTGTTCAGTTTCCACAAATGTGTAAACTTTTCGTTCTTTCTATTGTTGATATCCAGCTTTATTTCAATTTTCTTGTATCTGTGGAGACTTGCTTTGTGGCCAAATATGTCATCAATTTGGAGAAAGTTCCATGAGGTACAACAGTATAGAATGTATATTCTTTTGTGTTTGGGTGAAATGTCATATAAGTATCTGTTAGATCTATTTGGTTTATAATGTCTTTATCTCTAGTATTCCTTTGTTTAGATTTTGTCTGAATTATCTGTTGGTTGGTGAGAGAGGCCTATTGAAGTCTCCCAATATTAGTATGAGGGACAATATGTGATTTAAGTTGTAGTAGTGTTTTTTTACAAACCTGGGTGCCCTTGTGCTTAGGATATAGATGCTAAGAATTAAAATATCTATATAGATATAGATGCTAAAGAATTAAAAGTTGAGGTATGTTACTTGGATGATCCAAAAGGATGGATTCATTTTACCATCTATTCTGTTATTCTGTGTATTTTTATTGGGGAATTGAGACCATTGATATTTAGAGATATGGAGTACTGCTCAGCAGAGCAAACAATGACATCATGAAATTTGCAGCAAGTGGATGAAACTAAAAAATATCATCCTGAGTGAGGTAACCCAGACTCAGAAGGACAAACGTGGTACGTACCCACTCATAAGTGGGTACTAGATGTAAAGCATAAAGGCTATTTTAAAACCTTTTTCTCGTTTTTCTGCTGTGTTGGAATATTCAGGGTCTGCTGTGGTAGGATACCTGGGCTATACTAGAGACATATTGCCCTGGCTATTGCTAATTGTGTTATTTTATGCTGGCATTTTAGCATCTGTGTTTGGGATGATTATAGTTCTAAGTGCTGATTTCTGGATTTGTCTTTGTTGGTTGGGTGTTTTGTTCCTTGGTTCCTGCTTCCTCTCTGGAATTTCAGAGAGTGTGATGGTTGTGTGTTGCCTGTTTTCCTGGACTGTTCTAATGGTGTATTTACAGGGAATGTCTGCTGGTGTTGGAAGTTAGGTAATTGGGGTGAGTTAGGGGAAGGAATGTTGGAGGAGAAAGTCTTTATGATGTATTGGGGATGGGGACATAGAGAAAAGCGAGACCACAACATGTTTCCAGCTACAGACCAGGAGGTAAAACTGGGGGTAATCTGATGTCAGGAGCAGTAGAAGAGATGTGGGTCTGTCTTAACCTACTTGTATCCCTGGGAGGGGTGGTCCTTTGGTTAGCAGTGGTGCCTACTGGAGTTGGGGTGTGGGATACACTGATGAGTGGGAGGAGGAAAGTTAGGAAGAGATGGTCTATGAGGTCCATATGAGATGTGGGCAGGGAAGAGGGAAGCCTACATCTGATGTTTTGCTGCAGCACTATGGAGGACCCTTTGTGATTGGATCTTAGAGAACAGAGAGACAGGGGAAGGTCTGCTGATTCTTTTCATAAAATATATTCTGATTATATGTTTTTCTGCACCAAATCCTCTGAAACCTTTCCCATTGCCCTTCCCATCAGACTCTTGTAGTTGGTTTTATTTTATTTTATTTTTACTCTTTTGGGGCCTACCAGCCAGTTCCAAAATATAAACACAGAGACTTATTTCTACATATTAATGCTTGACCTTAGCTTGGCTTGTTTCTAGCCAGCTTTTCTAACTTAAATTATCCCATTTCTCTATAACTATATTTTGCCTCTGGACTTTTTACCTTTCTTTATTCTATATACCTTTCTTTCCTTCTTATTCCATGGCTGGCTGGGTGGCTGAGTGGCTGGCCCCTGTTGTCTTCTTCTCCTTTTCTTGCTTTGTACCCTTTTCTCGAGCCTAGATTTCTACTCCTGTTTATTCTTTCTGCCTGGCAGCCCTTCCTATCCTTCTTCTGCTTAGCTATTGGCCATTAAGCTCTTTATTAGGCCAATCAGATGATGTAGGCAGACAAAGTAACACAGGTTTACAGAGCTAAACAAATGCAGCATAAAAGAATACAATGTATCTTTGCATCATTAAACAAATATTCTACACTACAGCATATTGATCTTAAGTTAATATTCCACAACAGACTCTACATCCTTTTTGACTCTTCTTAGAAAAGAAACAGGGATGTAAAGAATAATAAAATTAAAAAGATACAATAAAGGAAAACTGGAAAAAAAAAAGGAAGCCAAAGAAAAAGCAGGAGAAACACATGTAGACAATGAAACATATACACTGGTACTAACAGGAATCTAATAAAAACATAAAACTAAAAGCCATAATATATAAGCCAACAAAGGGCCTGTAAGGAAAATGAAAACATAACAAAACAAAAAAACTTGCCAACAAAACATTAAGAGACAAAGAACCTGCAGAGATGCCATTGAGTTCCTTTTACGGTGGTGGCCATCTACTGCTGCACTTTGGGCCTAACTGTAAGATTCGTTTGTCTATCTAGTGAGACTTCTTTGGAGAGATATAATATTTCACTTGCAAGGAGTTATCAACTGGAGATAGTTTCTGCTTTAAGGATAGGGGCTTGTGTCCATTTCCTTTCTCAGTGCTGGGACCCCATCAGGCACAGACCTATGTGGGCTCTCTGCATGCTACTACAGTCTTTTTGAATTCATGTTTTGAAGGCATTCTTTTGTTGGTGTCTTCCATTCCAATGGCTCTTAAAATCTTTCTGAGTCCTTTTCCATCAGGTTCCCTGAGCCCTGTAGGGAGGAATTTGATGGAGACATTTCAGTTAGTACTGAGAGATCCAAGATCTTTCACTCTGTGTATTGTCCAAGTGTAGGTCGCTGTATTTGTTCACATCTGCTGCAGGAGGAAGCTTCTCCAATGATGGTTGAACGTGGCACTCATCTATGAGTACAGAAAATGTTGCTAAGAGTCATCTTAGGTCTATGTTCCTAAGAATAGTAGTATTTGGTCTTCTCCTAGTTCCTTGGCCTATCTTGACTCAAGCTCTAGGCCACCAAAGCAGTGTTGAGGATGGATTCCATCTCATGGAGTGTGCCTCAAATCCAATCAGACATTGGTAGGTTACTCCCTCGAGTTTTATGCTGGATGTGATAATCTTTTTGTACACTATGAAGACGTATCTCTGCCAAGGTACCTTTTGATTGGTTTAATAAAGAGCTGAATGGCCAATAGCCAGGCAGGAGAGGATAGGCAGGACTTCTGGGGAGAAAGAGGAGCTCCAGGAAGAAGCTGAGGCACACAAGATTCACCAGAGAGACATGGATCAAGTCAAACACACAGTATGGAGGAGAGGTATTGAACCATGTGACAGAATGCAGGCTAATATAAATGGGTTAATAAAGTTAAAAGAGCTAGTTGTGAAGAAACCTAAGCTAAGGCCAAGCATTCATAATCAATAAGAAGTTTCCATGTCATTATTTGGTAAATGACAGTCCAAAGAAAGTCTGACTACATTGTACCACTATTGCAACATTGCATATTGCATGCAGTCATTGTTGTAGACTGAAGAGTATAGCTGGGTTTGTTTTTTACCTTTCTCCTTTGGAAGTATAAAAATACCTTCCAGTATCACGAACACTGGATCACAGGGGTGAAAGCACTAGGTAGGTAATAGCTCAACTTCTCCATGTTCAGTCAGTTGTTGGGGTGTCATTTTTAGCAATAGAGTCTTGGTGTGAGTTTGTGGAGATGAACAAGCTGTGGAGTCAACAAGCTGGGCTGTTTGGTGCCTCCTATGGGGCCCCTTTGACTAACAACTTCATAGATATAACCTGTTCCCAGCACTGGAAGTTTCATTCATTTAGACAATGAGAGTTGTCCAGTTGGGGCTCTGTCTACCCCATTATTTGGCAATTCCATTTAGATCAAAAGCATATTTTAGGAAGTTTATACAGTATTAGATTTCCATAAAGCCCCTCAAATGTCCCTTAGTTTTAGCAATCCCACCCATATTCCCACCCATACACCCATCTTCACTCTCTCTTCCCATATAATCATGTTGTATCTGTTCTCCTTCTCCATATATAGCTTTCTATTCTATTTTTCCTCCTTTGGAATATCCATTTCTCACCCCATCCCCGTACTCTACATCTAACCTTGTGGATATATGAATTGTAGTTGCTTTTTGAAGACTTAAAAGCTAACATCTACATATTAGAGAAGGCATACCATATTTTTCTTCCTGGGTCTATGTTACTTCACCTACAATGATTTTTTTCTGCTCCATCCATTTACCTGAAAAATTCATGATTTCATGGTTTATTTTCAGTCTTTCATGTGATTTTATTTTCTCCCTTCAACCATAATAATATGATATCCAAATTTTGTCTTAACAGGTAGGTCTGTAAACACAGGTTTATCCATCCCACTTACAGGCAAGGCAAATGCAGCTTCTTGAAATGGTCCTACCATGGATCCTCTCTGGTCATCCATCCCAAGTCACCCCCTTGCCTGGCTTTATCTTCACTGTATTGTGTAGCCACTTCACTGAATCTCATTCCAGATTTTAACTTTTCCATGGCTTCCATGATTTTGCCATGTTTTTCACACAGAATGTGTCTGACCTTTACTGCATCGCCACCACCTATAGGGCCCTGAGCCTTCTTGTCAGCACTGTCACTCCCAGAGGCTGCACCTCCTTTCCCCTCTTTTCCAGAACCACTTTTCCCCTTCGGCGGCATCTCGTAAGCTTGCCGTTGAACTCTCAACTGATTTCATGTTTTTAATGGCTTAGTATTATTCCATTGTGTAAATGTGCCTCACATTCTTTATCCATTTATCTGTTCCTTCTCAGCCACTTGTCTTTCCTCTTTTGATCACTCTCTGCTTATATCAGCAGTACCCCATTTTAAAATTGGGTTGTTTGTTTTCTCGATGACCAGATTGTTTAGCTCTTCACACATTTTTAGATAGTAGCCCTCTATTGAATATACAGTTGGAAAAATCTTTGCCCATTTTTATGTTTTCTTCATTGATGAACAGCAGTAAAGGCAGCAGCACGTGTGAGCTTGGATGGAAGACAGAACAAAAAAATAATAGGAGTAAACATGGGTTTAGGAAGGGATTGATGAGAAAAGTGCAAAGGCACTGTAACCAAAACTGGTTTTAAAAGTGGATGTCTGAAAACATGAACTGTTGTTTTGGTGTGACTACCAGAAAATCAAAGGACAGGAGGAGAAAGAGAGTCAAAGGTGGAGGAAGAGAAGGTGAAACAGAAGGAAAAGAATAACAATAATATTATTGTTATAGTTAACATTTATTGAGCACTTACAAGGTGCCAAGAACACTTTTAAGCACTTTATTTGCATTTCTTCAAATATCTTGGCATGTGATCACTCACAGGAGGACTAGGCTGCTTCACACGAACATATTTATGGCTCAACATATGCTCTTTGCATTTCACTTGTACATATATGGAATCCTCACAGAATTGTGTGGCTATATTTCTCTCATATACACGGTGACATTTAAGTGCTTTAGGAGCTGGGGTGGATTGCTCTGGCCACATGAAATATAACTCACCCAGAGAAGTTCATATTATATGAGTTAAAATGAAAGATTCTGTAAATCACTACAATGACCAGAAGCAATCTGTATTCAATTACTGGCTTCAAAGGACTGAATATTAGGTTAGATCCGCATGAAGTGAATGGGCTCATCCATGTTTGGGCTAGCCCTTGTAGGCCCGTGTACATTCATATTTAACACTCAAGATTTTATCTGTTGATCCAAATAAAGCTAATTCACTCTAAAGAAATTCCAGGGCTTTTTTTAAAAATCATTTCCCAGTGCCCTTCTTCCTTTTTCTTACTAAGTAATGGCCTATATGGCTCAGCTGCTAAATGTGAAAAGCACAAGGCAATTAATATCACCAAAATGAATGCAAGTTTTTGCAGCTACTACTCCCAGCCAGGATTCCGTGGCAACAAAAAAGGAACAACCCTTTCTCTGTCTCTATTCCCTCATGTAGAAGATGTAAATATTTTTAAAAGAGATCTTACTCTAATTATCAGTAATTCATTCTACAAATCTGTTCTTTTTACTAAGAAATAGTAATTGGATTTTATTTCCTTTGCTTTTTCATTAGTGAGGACCAGACTGGGGGGCCCCATGCTAAGGATCAAATTAGCAAAACACTCCATTAATTCCTTACATTCCCAGCTTTTAGGGTTAAGAAGCCAGGGGACACTGTCCCTCAGGCTGGCCTCAACTTCTTTATGTAGTCAAGTTTAACATTTGTAATCCTCTTGTCCCATTCTTCTAGGTGCTGAGGCTATAGATACAGACAGAAACCAAACCTAGTTTCATTATTCTAGTGAGAAAATATTAATACATTATACATGCACACCAAGCCACTAATGTCTTAAATTAACCACCTATACACAAACTAAGACATATAAACTAACAAGCGTATTATGATAGAGAATATCCAAATTGTAAGTACATGCTTGTCTTCAAGCAAGTACCATTTCTAGGGCATATGTACAGAAGTATAATAGTAATAATATGTTCACAGTATAAATAGCCTGAAAATTGCAGTAATTTTTTTCAGTTAAATGGAAGCCAATTCTTAATCAACAGAGAATGACTTACATATTTATAAAGTTAAGTGTGTTATTAATATTTTAATATGTGTACAATATATAATGATCATATCAGGGTAACTGGCACATTGTCACTTCAAATATTTATCATTTGTTTGTAACATTTAAGTGTCTCCCTGAAGTTACTTCGAATTCAATTTCCTGCCATCTATACCATCCTCCTGTGCTGTATACAACCCTGCTTTAACTCTGTGTGGGGTGGCATTTTGGGGACCTCAAAACTGGCAATGGTAAAGGTTTCTTAACACATGACAGTCAAAATTTAATTTGAAATCAAATGCATAATGAATCTGAGGTATCTCTTGGCGCTTGTCTCCACGACATAACAAGACTACACTGCAGCTTTGGTTCTGAACACATAAACTTTGCACTGTGCTTGCTGCCATGCCGAGAGTCACCCCCAAGACACCTTGGCTCAGATTCATGAAGCTTGTACAGTAAGTAGGGGCCGCAGTGTTTCATACACATACAACAGCTTCTGTGCTCATAGAAGCATAAGGGTTTAACTGCGGCAAACAAAGGCTTTCTATGGCTTCCTGTTGTTATTCTACAGCATGTAAATGTTAAACTCGTCTATCTTAGACAGGATTGCGTGGAATATTCAACTTTTAAAATCAATATTAAAATGGTAACATAAGTTAATTTTGGTTTAAGGTTGGGAAAGTATTTCTGATAACTCACCTAAATATCTTTTTGCCAGTTTTACCACATAGACACAAACTGGGGTCTTCAGCATTAAAAATTTCACAATCAAGATAACAATGAACATTGGAAATAATTGGAGGTACTCATGCTCCTGCAGTTTCATGGACTCAGCTGAGATTGAATTCTTTCTTTGGCATCTGTCACCAGACCAATACACAAGCTGACGGCACTAAATGGCTTCAATAGATGATTAACACAAACAGCACACAAATTTAGGGGGCAAAGTGGGGGGGGAAGGGTGTGGGGACAGGTGCAAAGGAGGGACTAGAGGATAGGTTTCTTCAAAATACGTTTTATAAGTGTATGAATTTCCTAAACAGTAAATAACATTCTATATAAACAAAAATAAGCATACTCATTAATATGAGTTGCAAGACGAGTTAAAACTACAATTACTTTAAAGCCACAATTGTTTTACTGTCTGTAGAAGTTTGGATAGGACACCTATCTTATAAACCTAGCATTCCATTGAAATTTATCTGCAGAAGGGACTATGTGGAAAAGTTAAAGATTTCCTTCCGTAGAAAGGTTGGGGTTATTTTTCTTTTTCAGTTCACCCCTATTAACCATTCTACCTTCATCTCTCCCTCCTCCATATGCTTCCCAGTCTCCCATTGTTCACCACTGGTCTAGTTTCTATACATTCGGAAGCAAATTCAGCCTATATATGTATATATATGACAGCCTATAGGTTTTGACAATCTGAGCATGGTTAATTTTGCTTATCATAAAGTCCCCCCTCTTCTCTTCGGCCACCACAAATGGGAGAATTCTCTTTTGTTTTATGACTGGATAGTACATATTATGCATCAGAGACCCAGAGCGAGACATTAGAAAGAGAGAGACCGTGGAATTCATTGCTCTAAATAGGATTCCCTCCATCAAATTCCTCCCCTCAAAGCTCAGAGGATGTTGCAGTAGCAGAGGTGGAAAGAGTGTTAAGAACCAAAGACTTTGGAGAGTATCAGGAGAACAAGACCCCATAAATCAATGGAGCAAAGCTCATATGAACTTACAGAGACAAAAGCAGTAAGCACATGGCTGACATTTGGGTTGTACCAGGTCCTCTGAATATATATTTTGGCTTTCAATTTAGTATTCTTATGACACTCCTGAGTGTGTGAGTGAATGGGTCTCTGATTCTTGTGCCTTCTTATTAGAAGGGGCACTTTTCCTTTTGTTGGTTTGCCTTATCCAACTTTGCTATGAAAGTTTTTGTTTTATCTTATTTTTTTCTCTTTTTATTTATTCTTCCTCCCATTCCGTCCCTCCTCCACACTCCTTCCCTATTCCCTTCCACAGATCCACTGCTCTTCCATTTCCCTTTTGAGAAGGTAAGCCCTCCCAGTGATATCTACTGAACACAGTGTAACAAGATGCAATAAGACTAGACAAGATGCAATAAGACTAGCCTCATATCAAGGCTAGACAAGGCAACCTAGTAGGAGGAAAACGTTCCCATGAGAAGGCAAAAGAGTCATAGACACCCCCACTCCTACTGTTAGAAGTCCCCCTAAAAACAGAAGCTGAACAACCACAGCATGTATGCAGAGGGCCTAGCAAAGAGAGACCCATGCAGGTTCTGTGATTGCTACTTCACTCTCTATGAGTCCCTATGAGCCTTGATCATTTGGTTCTATGGATCGTGTCCTTGACCCCTCTGGTTTCTACAATCCTTCCCCCACCTCTTCTGCCAGATGCTCAAAGCGATCCCTATGGCTGTGGGTCTCTGTGTCTGCTCCCATCAGCTGCTCCAGAAGCCTCTCTAACTATGATTGGGCTTTGCACTGTTCTACGAGTACAGCAGACTATTATTGGAATCATTTCATTGCCTTTTAAAAATTATTATTATTATTATTATTATTATTATTGGTCAGTCCTCTTTTGTCCTACCCTATGTTTCTGAGCCATCCAACTTCCAATTCCTGGCCTTCCAGGCAGTGATGGGCATGGGCTCCCTCTAGTGGCTTGGGCCTCAAGTTAGACAGGTCGTTGGTTGAACACTCCCACAAAGCTCTGAGCCGCCATTGCCCCAGCATCTTTTGCAGGCGGAACAGATTGTAAGTGGAAGGTTTTTTTGGCTGAGTGTGTCCCAAGTACCTACCCTGGTTACAGAAGATAGCCAGTTCAGGCTCCATAGCCTCCATAACTAGGAGTCATCTCTAGGATCACTTTCCCAGGTTCCAGGAAGTTTCTGCTGTATCAGGCTTTCAAATCACCCGCTAAATGCCCACCTATTTCAGTCATCTCTCTCCATACTTGATTGTTTTTATTTTGTTATCGTTTGTTATTATCTCTTAGAAACCTGGTATGTTGGTTCGTTTGTTTTTTTGAGAGACAAAAAGAGAGTAGATCCAGATGGAAGGGGAGATGGAAAGGAAGGGACAGGGAGGAGT